GGATCCTTGCGCAACGGCCACCTGCCACGAACACCTCCCGTTAAGTGGGGCGAATCTCCAGTCCTTGTTTGTGTACCTGAAATAATGTTTCCTTATCTCCTACAGGTGTTATTCAGATAAAGCCCAAGTAGAGATGACACAGCAGATTTGACCACCCAGAGGCTGCACAAATGCTCAAGGTCCAGATGTGAGTTGCACCTGATGCAAACAAAGGAGAGGAGAACCAGCTCCTACAAAGAGCAGAGAAAGAGAACAACCGCATTTTTTTACAGCTATACATTTTAAGGTTAGAATGGTAGAAATATCTCCTACTGAATCAAGTAGGGATGACATTTGTGAATCAAGTATGGGAAATACAGTGATGAATGTTCTTTACTCCAGATTAACGCCAGCCTAATGGATGGTTGCTTGGTTTTGATCTGTTTTTCCTGTTTCAGTACCTCAGCATGTGTCCTGAGCCTGGAGCATTTTGCACCTGCTGAAAGGGGTACAACATCCATGTCCACAGCAAGTCAGTTCAGGGAAATTTCACTAATGTTGGGTTTAGGAATAATTTTATTCTTCTCAGCAATTTTTATACAGATCCAAGGGCCTTTTGGCGGCCATGTTTTCCAGAGGACTTAAAATTCAGGTCCTGTGCTCAATAAGTATATATGACTTCTATGTATAAGACTGAGAGAAGAGGCCAAAGAAAGAAATGCCGGCAGTGTGAGCAACCTGCCCGGTCGGGGGAGCTCAGAGATGTGAGCAGAGAAAACACCATCTGGGAAATGAAGCAGTGAGCAGTCCCATGAGGATGCACACGCACACACCCACACCTACACTCCCCAGACCTCGCAGCAGCAGCCTGGTAAACTTCTTTCACACGTCTTCTACTGCTGAGGAAGTGTCCAGATAGAGCTTGGAGATGCCTTGAACTGCAGATCACATTGCAGGGATCAGGACTTGGGTATGACAAAATCTTCCCTGGCCTACGTGCATCGGTGGGGCTTAAGCATATCCATGAGCACATCATACCTGTGAGCACATCACACCCATGAGCACATCACAGCCATGAGCACATCACATCTGTGAGCAGCCCAGCATTATTTTTGCTCCAAAGGAGCCACTGGAGTGATGGAGAAGTGAGGAGATGGGCATGGCCTGGAGCTGGGCTGGGCACACAGAGCGGCGCTTCCGATGCCTGCTGCAGCACATTGGCCTCTCAGTCATGCTAACATTTTCAATACTCCAACAAGTTTCCCATATATAGTATATTTCCCAGCCTGTGACCTTTGCTGAGGCCTCATTGCCTTTCCTTGAAGCAATAAAAGGCATTCGTGATGTTTCTGTGGTGAACTGTGGGAAAAGAGCAGCAAGAAGCTGTGACCCCTGGGCAAGGGCATGCTTTGGAAACACCGTCATCGAAAAATCAACACATCAGCCCAGAAGGCCCACAGGCAGCTGATCTCCTCCTGCCTTATCAGAGAGAGGGCTCCTCTGGATGCTGGGGCAGCAGCCACTGGACATCTTTGAGATGTTTATTCCATCCACTGTTGATAGTGAAGTCAATACGATAACTAAAAATAAAGATTAAAAAAAAATACACTGCAGCTATTTGTTCCCAAGTTGTAATGTTTACCCATACCAGCCCGGCTATCCATTTAGGCAGGCCGGTAGTACCAGATGTTCAGTCATTTTGAGCAACATGGTCATATCCCAGAAGATTTAGCCTGCCGGAGCAACTATATTAAACACGCCTGTAATTTTCCACTTTGACGGGAAGATCGTGTTCCTCTGGGGTGAGCGACAGCTGACCAGATAGGCCCCATGCACGTGCAGCAGGCACAGCCCCAAGCCCTCTCCCAGCTCTCGTGGTGGCAGGAGGGGACACCACTTCTGCAGCTCACTGGGGCTTGGTCTGGGAGGTGCCGAGGATGGAGAAGGCCCCCATCAGCAGCAGCTTCTGTGAGGTGATGGGACATGATGTTGGGGTCCATGGGGTGCCCAGTCTCCCTATGTCCAGCTGCTGCCGCGGGGAAGGATGCGGCCGGGGCTGCAGGCAGCTTCTCCCCCATCCCTCCTTGCATGCTTCCTACCATGCTTCCTTCAGTGGCAGGGAGGTACTTGCTCTTTAGGTGCAGGTGAGGCATCAGGACAGCATGGGGATGCTCTGGGCAGAGCTGCTGCAGCTCCTGGTGCCACTGCCACCACTTTGGTCCCCAAAACCCTGGCACCCCCCTCTGCTTTCCTCTCACCAAGTCCAGAAAGGGCCAGCTTGGCCTCTGGTGAAATTGCCATCTTTGCCTCCATCAGCAACTCTTGTCTGTAAGGCCAGAGGGGTATTTCTGGAAGAAACGATCCTTTTGTGGATGCTGTTGCCAACTCTGATTATGACTGGCTTGGTTTTTCTGCCACTGATTTTTGTCACACAGCAGGACCGGTCAAGGCAGGCAGGGAAAGATATCCTTCCTATTCTTATACATGCAATAGATGGGATTAACCAGATAAACCAGGCAGGCTGCTTCCATGAACCCACTCAGCTGCAAAGACTTACTGTCCGAACAAGCTTTTCTCGTTGGCCATCTTGTCACTGTGAGGTGATCTCATATGGATCCAGCTTGCCTGCTCACAGTAAAAGGACCTTTCTCCTTCCAGCCAAAATCCCCTCACAGAAATCTCTCATGGGCAGATTTGCCCTATGGAAGCTAATCCCTTTCCTTCATAAAACCACCAGTGCCAAGACCCAAGGCTGGGACTGGGTTCAGACAAGGCGCCGCTGCTGGAGCCATTCCAGTTCCTTGAAGTGCTTGAGCAGGCTGGGACCACAGGAGGAGTCTTTCCCTGCCTCTCCTCCAGCCGCCAGGGAGATGGGTGCTGCTGCAGCATGGTGCCCTGGCAGTCACTGATTAACCGCCCACCCGGGGAGGTGCTGCCCATGCTGTGGCTTGCATCTCGACCCCCTAGCTGCTCATTTGTGATGCTTGACTTCACTCTGCGGTGGTTTTATAGACCTTTTGCCACAGCGCTCGTGTCCCACAGCCTTTTTTTTTTCCTCTTTACCGTTTCGAATGTTTCAAATGTAGAGAATGAGCCTGATTTCTGCCACCCCTGTCTTGCTTTTTATGGGTAACTCCTCTGCAGCTTAACCATCAGGCTTGTGTGGATGCAAGGATCTGGCCAGCTTTGAAAACATTTAGGTAGAATTCCCCTTCTTATGAGAAGAGCTTATAAGCCTCACAAAATAGAGGTAAAATGGGATTTCTGTGAGCTATCCATGCTACTTGGCTTTTTACCATATGGTGAATGTTATCCCCCAGAGAGGAAAATATTCCCCAGCTTCTCCTTACCCAGCTCCATCTTCGCTGTGCTCACTAGTGCAGGCACAAAGACTGCATTGCCGGTGGCGTAAGCAGTAACAGGAGATGAAGATGTTGAAACCGTATATTTATTACATACATGAAATATAAAACCAAATTACCAAAATAGTATCATTTTTTTTGTGAGTCCACAGGACATTGAAAGAAAAATACGTAAAGCAGATTGGTAGACTGGCAACTTTTCTGGTGTTATATGTCTTCCTTTTCTTTCCCCTCACACTCATGAACAAAATACACTCTATGCAATGTGGTTTAAAGATGCTTTACAGAAAAGATATATTTTAGTGCTGAAAACTGCAGTAAACTGTGCTATATTCCATACTGGTGTTAATGACAAAGTATAATGACCATATATATTGCAAACAATAACACAGAAGAAAACAAATAAAATGTTCAGTTTTAAATACTAACACAAAAAATAAAATAAACTCCAGGCCCACCACGAATCGCTGGGTTGTGATTTGTGAATGTGAGTCCTTTCCGTTCTCCACATCCACTCCTTTTCCTGCAGGCAGAGTTTTTCTCCTCTGGCAATTGCATTTGTTGTCTCAAAGTCTCTTCTTCTCAAGCTGCTTGCGAAGTCTCACCGGAGTCCTGCCCATGGGGTCCAAGTCCTGGTCTGAAGCTGGGACTTCGGTGCAAATACTTTATCTTTCAGATATCCTCAGATATTCTGAGTGGCCAGTGCCAGGCTGGCCGTTCCCTTTATACTGTTAACACCGTCCACCTGGGGGGGGTCTTCAGGAGTGCTTCTGTTTCAGGGAGTTTTTTTCACATGCCACCTTCAGCCTCTTCTTTCGCCAACACAATTAGACTTCCCGCACTATGAAGTGGCAGGTAGTAAAGTGCTTTATATAACGAAATATTTACACTAGGGCTAGGTTAGTTTTTTAACACTTCAAGGACAAAAGCTCAGAGACACTGCACCCTCTGGAGCTGGCTCTTCTCTGTGGCTGTGGGTGGAGAGCTGGCCTCTGCCTCGTGCCATGCTTGTGCCAAGGCAGAGGGATTTGATTCACTCTGGCAGCTCCAGCCTCACCAGCACTGGCAGAGAAACCTTCAGCGCAGTGACCAGATTAAAAGCACGTGGTGCCCGATTCTCTTTGATGGGTGCTGTGTCCTAACCCAAGGGGGTGTTTCTAAAGAGCAGTCGTTGCTGCCATGCTGCTGCCAGCGCCTGCCTGCCACTGTGGCCGTCACCTTCCCCACAGCATCCTCTGGGAGCCTCTGGAAGTCATTCAGCATCAGTGCTGGCAGCACTGGCAGCGGTGTTTTGCTTCTCAGCTGTAGCTCGTGGGCACACTTTCCCTCTCCAGGGTGGCAATTTAGTCTAGGGTGATCAGTGGCTTCATAGGAGTTGCTCCAACATCACACTGGAGCAAGACAAGCGTCCACCCTTCCTTACGTTTCCCTCAATATAACGACGAGCTGGGCTCAGGTGAGCCCCTGGAAAGGAAGCTACAGGCAAGTGAATGAACATTGGCCAGGAAGGTTAAATCAGACAGCGCCTACAACTCTGAATGCCTCGCTACACATTTTGGCACTATTTCCTTACATTCCAGTTTTCATCCTAGAGGTCTTCTCTCTGTGAAGGCTGTTGCATTTTGTGCATAAATAAATGCCCTAGGCAGTCGCGCACCTCTAGTTGCAGTCTCTTTTCAAAATCTCCAGGACCTTTCTTCCAAGAGCCGACTTCCACTGATGGACAAAACTTTTCATGTTGACGATGAGTCTGCCTGTTCGGACATCCTCGTGTCCTGCCACGAGGTACTCCAAGCCTGCAAATCAGCAAAGCGGTTGACACTGCAAAGTCAGCCTGGATATCTAGTCCCATGTAAAAAAGCACTTATATGAAGAAATACTTATATGTATTGATTCTCTCATATATCTGTATATGCATACCTCTATCTACATCTGTGGAAAAACGACCCCTGTGGCACGTCTGTCAGTGAGATGCAGTCTACAAACTTTGATTTTGTTAGCTTCTAAATATAAATGGAAGCTGAGCTCTGGGGGCTGCACTACAAGTTTTTATACCTTGCTTGGGAACTGCTGTTACCTTCAGTTGGCAGCCACCTGCCTCACCCCTCCCTGAATACACCTGGGCCTGGAAATCGGTCGGTTCAGTGCATTCCAGCAATGACAGCGCAGGATGGCCCAGTACTGGTGTCTTGCTCAAAATGGCCGGTGTCCCCTTGCAGGCAAAGGCACGCTGGACCTTGTCGAGAGGCAATACTAGATCTGCCGGCGCGAGCACCCCAGAAGAGCCTGAGGGGGTGGCAGTCACACTGAAAAGAACTGCATTAACTTCTGCCTCTGCTAGATGTTTTAGAGACAAGACAGCAGCATCTGGCAAAGCCTCACCTGGTGTTCAGAAGGTGCCAGAAAGGGCTGGAGCGCTATCCTATAATGCCCCACTGCAAGGCTTGCCCCAGGCATCCAGGTCCCTGGCTTTCAGGGCATGACTCAAAGAGTGCTTGGAGCCAGGCAATAACTGCTAAGTGGGGGGACAGGGTGAAGCCTTTGGCTTGAATTAGCTAAAGAAACACTACCACAGATCCCAACAGCCTAAATGGGCCATGAACATGCCATAAACCGGGACAACAAGGAGGATAATTCCTCCCGTGGCAGGAGGAGCTCCCTGCCAGGGCCAGCATCCCGCTACAGCACGCTTGCTGTACAGCAAGCATGAGATCCCCCATGTACCCGCTCCTCCTCGCACTGGTCTGGGGAGTACCATGCAGTGGTACGAACTAGCCTGGGGGAGATGGGTCTCCCCAAGTGCTCTCGGTCGCCCCACTCCATCCTGGCCACAGCGGGGAGTCTGCTCGTTATTTTCTTGGGTTGACATTTTGTAGTTCAGAATAAAGGGAGAGCATCCCCTAGTTAAAGGTCAAACATGTTTTAATTCAATACAATTCGTTATCTACTTTATCTGAGTTTTGGGGCACACACATCCTCTCTTCTGCTGAATAAACACTGGATATGTGTGTGGCAGTATCACCCTTTGCAAGACATCATTAATTTTGGCCATGTCTAAGCGTGCTGTTACAAACATCACTCTTCAAGGCTCCTAAATCTATCTCCCTTGAGAGACAAAGGTGGCATGCACCCTCAGAGAGCAAGCAAATATTGCTGTGGTTGCCAATTCAGTCGGGCTTTCTAGATTTTCAACTAGACGTTACAGAAGCACAAAAAAAAAAAGGAATCGAATGACTGAGATGCTGCAAGCCAGGACTTGAGGCTGTGAGTTTTGCACTGCGTTGCTGAAAGGCAGCTCTCTGCTTATTTGTGTCTGTGCTTGGCAGAGCCAAGGAGGAAAAGGGCGCCTGTTCCCTTGTGGAGAGCTTTAAACCTTCAGCTCAGTGTTCCCCCAGAAGTCCAACCTGCCTCTCTGGGTGCGTGCACAGGGGAAGGTGTGCAAGGGTAGTGAATATCCTCTCATAGGAACTTAAGCACATTTATCATCTGAAAACAGCCCATGGAGATTTGATAAATGCTTGGAGCTTCCATTATAGCTATATGTCAGGAAATCGGTTTATGTCAGCTTGGCTTTTTATCCAGCTGTTGTTGGTTTATTCATCTGGAGGTCATAAGCTGTTACTCTGATAGAGGGTTAAATCTGGTAATATAGTATTGCTGACCATCCAGAAATGAATGTGGTAGCTAAAGAAAATCATGACATTTAAAAAAATATTTGGGATCCTTTTTTTTTCCACTTTGAAATGATTGAATCTTAAAGATGCACTCAGTTGATGTTTTCAAGTTTCCTGTTAGGACCAAACTTCACAACTTCTTTCCAACATGAAAGCTGAGATTAATTTATACTCATGGGACTCCAGCAGCTGCATTTCAAGAAGACACCAAGCTTTGTAGTGTAAATCATGAGACCCGGCAAGGGGGTAACACCTGATGTGTCAGACGCCTGGATTGTCCCTAAAGACAATTGCACCTCCACACTTCTGCTGACGTCCAAGCAACCTTCATTGATTCTGTGATTAATACTGTCTTTTCCTCTGCTGGGGAAAATCAGTGAAGCTCCTCTGAAATTATTGCAAAAGCTGTGTGTCAGGTGTGGGGCTGCCCTGCACAATCAGTGTCTGACAGCTTCCATGGCATTGCTCCAGGTTCATATTAAGGCTTTCTTGTTTGCGTTTGCATTGCATATGGAAAAATAAAACATCTGTAGCTGTTTAATTATAGATTTATGGTGTTTTACCAATATCCAAAGTCTTACTGTGCTTAAACACCAAAGTCCTGCCTAACGCTGCTGACTCATCCAACCCTTGCACCTGACAAGACTTCCTGACTACAGCTGTGCTATCACGGCAGCTTGCCTTCAAAGCCAAAGGCAGCCACCCCGGTGGAGATGAAAGAAGACTGCAAACACCTCGTCAATGAATAACCTTTCTGCGTGATCCAGCCTCACAGACAGCCCTTTCCCCCCAAAGGAAGTTCCTAGTGCTGCACATGCAAGGGACATCTCAGCACTGAAGTCAACGTTTTGGTCGGTCATTTCCAAGTGATGTGTGCACCTTATGGACAGAAAACCCTTTATCTGAATTAGTTGGTAACTGTTGGTTTACCTCAAAGTTGTAAAGAAAGGTGTGTCAGCTGGAGCTTAGTTTTGCTCAACTGAAGAAAACCCTGAGTCTGCATCTCCTCGTCCGTACTGGAGACTGCACGCACTGTTTAGCCACAACTAGATACTCCATTTCAGTGAAAGAAGATGAGAAAAAACTGTGAAGCCAAAGCTGCCCCTCTCACTGCATAAGAGAATCTCTTCCAAATCTTGTAGATGCAAATTAGTGTTACTTTCAAAGAGACATCTTCCTATGAGTTTAGATTAAAACTTCAGTACAATGTCATGACTCAAATTAGATTTAAATGTGCTTTTATGGATTCATATTAGCATTAGTTTTGAAAAGATATGTCATGATAGGCACCTCCCTCCTTCTGGGAACAGACTGAGATTGATAAAGCTGTAAGACTGTTATTATGCTTCATAAAGAGAAACATATGTTTGAAAGTCTACAGAAAGAACCAAGTTTTTCTCTACAAAATTCAAATTTGATGGAGATTGTTGTTGGCATCCCAATGATGTAACAGCCAATAATTTAATCAACGCTGGGATACAATCTCAGCTCATTTGCATGAGGGGATGGAGGGGTGGGAATGAAATCTGTGTAAACATGGTGGGGATGTACTGTTCGGGGAGTCAAACCTACCGGGATTGAGGATGGGACAAGTGCAGCCTCTGTTAGTCCAGGATTCAGGGTAGAGCGTCCTCTTGCCCCGGAGGATCTTCAGCTTTGTAGATTTCAAGACTTTCTTGATCTTCACATTGACTTCTGCATGGGAGCCTTTGTCATGAGCTGACATGATCTTCGTCTTGATCACTGGGAAGACACAAATTCAAAACCAGGAATATGTAAACTATTCACAGTGCTCTCTTTTTTTTTTTGGTCTAATGCAGGTGTCTGGGTGAAGTAGTGAGGAGAATTACTTCATTACAATGGAGTTAGCCCGATGCTCCTTGCTGGGGAGCCCAGGGTCAGTGCAGCTGCCAGGCGAGTGCATACGTCTCCATACCTATGGGCAGGAGCGTTGCCAGTTGGTTTGTCCACAGCCCCTGGACCTGCCACATGGGCAGCGGGAGAGGTCCAATGACCTGATTTTCAAAACTTGTGAGGGCCCCATTTTCTCCTGGAGCTCAGCAAAAACTTTGGCTTCCTTAGCACTTTTGGAAATCAAGTGGAAAGTTTTGCTTTTAGGGATGGACCTGGAGGCCTTGCCTGCCTCGGCCCGGGCAGGCCAGGCAGCAGGCAGGGGTGTGAGGGGCTACTCCCATCCTACCCTGGTGAGTGGTCCTGCTGGTCCTCCTACTTTGCAGAACTGCCAAATCCAAATGCAGTGGTGGAGACTGAGATGTTGGTGGGACTGAGGCAAATCACAGAGTATTTTGAGCTCACAGATACCCACAGGTGCACCCCTGCCGCCTGGTATCCCTGGTATCCCACCTGCTGGGCCCCTGTGCAGTGGAGGCTCAGGGCTCAGGTCCCATGCGTGAGCCTCCTCCCGACTGCACTGATGCCTACAGTGGTAGGTATCACTGTACGGTGGTGCTTTATTTGGTGCTCCACGTTACGAAGCTCAGGGAAACCTCTCCTCCTACAGTATGGCCTCCTGAAGCTCTTGAGGAGCCCCATAATTCATCTGTCTCTCCAGTTTAGCTGACACCTTTGCATGTTGAGTGATGAAAGGGTGGGAAGCCTGAGTGTACTTTAGATAAGATTTATGAACTTGGGGTTTTTGTGACTTTTTTTTTATTTCTTATCTTTTGCAAGATTAAACATGATCACTGTTGTGGCCAGGGAGCAAAGCAAAGCAGAATCAGATTTTTTCCTAATATCATTAAGCCAGGGCTATATTTCAACAGCTGGCGGCCCCTTGAACTTCCCTTTGTGGGTTGCTCCGCAACCTGCAGAGGCAGGGGTTATCTCTCCGTGCATTTTCAACTTCAGCGTGAGGTGAAACAAGTGCAAGAGACCCCTGGAAGACTGTGAAGGAAGGGAGTGCTACACAGAGCATTCCTTGCTCTGCTGCGGTATGAAGGAGGCAGTTCACTGGCACACACCAGAGAGGTCTTGGGAAACAAAGTGCCTCCTCTCATTTCTTTAAATCCATTAGACACGTAGACAATATACATCACCCCATTGCAGCAGCTGAACTTTGTTGACAGGGGGAAGCTCCCAGTAGCTGCCGGGGCTGTTTTCTCCAGGTAGTGGTTTGTGTGGTGATCACTGTCCCTCCTTACATTCAGTGCAATTCAGATTTAGTGATTTCTAGACTGTTCTTGGGGCACCTGGTCTACAGACAGAGTTTTAGTGACCCATTTTTGGTAACAGTGCTTTCCAGTCTGTCTTGGACCTAGACAACCTGTTAGGGACCCTTCCAGCTCTTGTCTTCCCATGATTACGGCACAAGAGTATTTTGGTAGCAAGAGAGGTGGGTAACAGAGCGAGATGCTTCACGCACCTTGACTTGGCACCGTGATATCTGTACATTTTGGAAAGGTCAAAGATCTGCCCCCAGAATAATTAGCCCATGGGTTTGTAGGGACAGTGCAGTGCACACAGCAGCACCTCTCACGCTTTACACTCTTGCACCGCCTCACAGCACCTCCCTTTACGCCCCTGCCACCTCACCCGAAACTCACCATAGGTGTACTTCATCCCACAGAAGACCTTGGGATTTCCTAGAACTTGCTCTTTACATTCGCATTTGCCTGGGGAAAGAGAAGGAAGCAAAGAGCTGTGGATTGTACTTACAAGACGGGAGCCTTCATGGGCAGAGCCTGGGAGCTACCAGAGGTTTTCATGTGGTCCACAAGCCCCATGCAAAAAAAGCCCTATTTTCAGATCCAGGCTGAATATACAATCTTAGTCCAAGGGCAATTATTCCTTGTTTACAGTTTGAAGAGAAGGGAGACAAAGGCCTTATTATTTTGCCTTGCGATGCAAACAACACGCATGTCTTTCCCAGCGGTATTTTCCACATCGTAATGTACCAGACAAAATTTTAAAAGGAAATGTTGCAGAGGTTAAGGCAGATTAATGACTTCCGTGATCTTAGAAAAAAGAATAACATGATATACTTATTTACGTTTAAAATGAAGTTGCCCAGACAAATGATGGAGCTTTCCCCTCAATTAACTCAATTATTGTATCTTTGAGATTTTATCATGCCACTTTCTGAAAATGGAGGAAATGACGCTTGCCTGCTTGCATGCAGTGATTGCAAGGGAGGACGGCTTGATGCTGCGCCGTGGGGACAAACTGCCTTGCAGCAACCTCACACAGCACCCACCTCCTCTAGACTCGGGGGGAAATCACTTCCCCAGCTGAAACCATAGCTGAAATGCTAGGCAATCTCAAATTGCACCGTAAGCTGCAATTGATGCCAAAATTGTTGTGAGTGCCAGGGAAATAAATTTTTATTTGGAAATTTCCAATTCCCTGCCCTTGAAGTGGCAAAACCACCCTCTAAATAATGCTGCTGGTTTGTCCAACACGTAGTAGTTCTAGTAAATATAAAGACACATTTAAAACATGATGGACAAAATAAAGAGTGTGTTCAGCTTTGAAATTCAGAGCTGGGGCCGCCATTTCAGGCAGGCAACTCTTGCCTTACCAACAGCTAAATGCTGGGTGCAGGCTTTCAGTGTGGAGCAGCTGCCTAAAGGATTTGCACGTCCTCACATTGATGGGATGAGCTGTATGGTTCCTCCAGCTCGTGGAGGGGAAAGAGGGAAACAGGGGAACGTCCATCCCCTCCTGAAACTGCCAGGGCACTAATTACAAGTCAGTGCAGAAGACTGTATCCATGCTGGCTGCTGGCAGGAGGAATGGGACAGGGAAACACATGCGAAGCCGCCATCCTACCGGAATGCCGGAGTGCCGAGAAGCCCTGCTCATCCTCCCAGCCCCAGTCGGGCTCACTTTTGTTGAGCACTGCTTGGAAAGGAGGTGCTTCGTGGTGCCAGGTCACATCCGAGCTGTTGGGGGGAAAGGGAGATGGTCACCCTTCCTCCTGGAGCTGTTGGAAAGCAGGGCCACTACCAACCCATCCTCTGGGCGCAACGTGACTGCACGTCTTGGTGCTAAATGCAAGGGGCAGTTTGGAAAGTGAACAGCTTGAGTGTTGTCACAGCGGGTCATGAATCCATTTTGGGTTTAAAATGCGTTGTAGGGATTTATATGCTATAAATATCCCCAGCGTGGTAAAAAAAAAAGCAACATAAAAGATCTGGAGAGTGGGGTATTTTTAAAATGGGCTGTCTTCTAAAAGTCAGAGCCTGACTCTAAGTCCAGTGCAGTCAACACAAGCTGAGTTCCAACAGAACAATATTAACCCCTTGGTCTCCTCTTGCTCAGATTTCCCTGAGGCTCACATTTTCCTCATGGAGAGGAAGCAATGGTGAAGGCTATGGAAAACATCCCATGCATTAACATCAGCACTGAGAGCCAATAATCCAACCTTGCCAGTGCCCTGCCATGGTGTGCCAGGCACCCAGGTGAACTGCAGCCTCAGCTCCCACTCCATCTCCAATTCCTGACCATACCAAACCTTGAATATTTTATATAATGGATATTTTTCAGACTGCGTGCCATGCATAAATGGGGTTGGAGCAGTGCCTTCCCTGGGATGGAGATCACAGGGGGATTGCTGAGGCTGTGGGGGGTGGCTGGGACCCCCCAACTCACCTGCTGCTGCGGCAGTCGCCGGTGTGGCTCCCACTCCATCTCCAATTCCTGACCATACCAAACCTTGAATATTTTATATAATGGATATTTTTCAGACTGCGTGCCATGCATAAATGGGGTTGGAGCAGTGCCTTCCCTGGGATGGAGATCACAGGGGGATTGCTGAGGCTGTGGGGGGTGGCTGGGACCCCCCAACTCACCTGCTGCTGCGGCAGTCGCCGGTGTGGGGGTCGCAGCTGCGGGCGCAGTCGCAGGGGGGGGAGGCGGTGGGCACCGAGGCCCCGGAGGCCGGGGGGGAGGG